CACTGAATTAGCAAGTACCAAACAGTTGCTCCTGGGAAAAATACAGATTTAGGTTCCTAAATGCCTTTGGTCACACCGTTTTTATCACCTGATCAACATATAACTTTGTTTTATGTGTGTTTCATTTTAAAGACACCTTATTAATATTTATTATTGATTTTATGTGCATTTGAAATGGTGAAATCGCCAACAAAATGTCTTACTAGTATGCACACGTCTGTGAGTGACTGCAAAAGCACTGGTACCAGTAAATTTGGGGAGGGGGTAAGGAGTAAATTTCCGACTGGCAAATTTGCACATACAGATTCTACAAATAGTGATCAACTGTATTTTGAGATGCCTTTGTAGTTGCATATGTGGATTAGCCACACATTTTGATATTTATTTAGTCTTTATTCTGAGTTTTAGTACAATGCTCTATAATCTGTTGTATGATAATCTAAAGAAAACCCATCATTGGGACAATGAAATTCGTCTTATTCACCACTATTGTTCCTTTCTTTCCCTTGTAGTTTCAACTTCCCCTCCAACTTCTCTTATTGTGCAGGAAACGAGTACTAGGTTAAGAGTTAAGACATATAGTTCCAGCCTCTTACTTTGAGGTGGGAACTTGGACAATTTATATGGCCAAGGCAGTATTTTCTTCCCATTCAGCAGAATGATTGTGTTGTGCCAATCTCTAGGATCTTTGTCAACCCTAAAACTCTGTTATTCTATATATGCAGATCTTGGAAAATTTAGGCTCTAAAACAAATCATAACACTAAATAAAAATGCATTTCCATAATCATACTAAGATAAAAGGCATACATAGGTATTTAACTACATAGGTATTTAAAAGCACAGGAATATGTTACAATGTGTTCTTTCAAATACTCAAATTTTGGGGTGCCTGGTGCAGTCAGTTAAGTGTCTGACTCTTGGTCTCCGCTCAGGTCATGATCTCATGGTTCAGGATTTCAAGCCGCATGGGGCTCTGTGTTGACAGTGCAGATGCTGCTTCAGATTTTCTCTCTCCGTCTCTCTCTGCTCCCTACTCCCCAGTTCATGCTATCTCAAAATAAATAAATAATTTCTTAAAAAATACTTTTAAATAGATGTAGTTTAAAAGATGGGAATAGGGGCGCCTGGGTGGCGCAGTCGGTTAAGCGTCCGACTTCAGCCAGGTCACGATCTCGCGGTCCGTGAGTTCGAGCCCCGCGTCGGGCTCTGGGCTGATGGCTCAGAGCCTGGAGCCTGTTTCCGATTCTGTGTCTCCCTCTCTCTCTGCCCCTCCCCCGTTCATGCTCTGTCTCTCTCTGTCCCAAAAATAAATAAAAAATGTTGAAAAAAAATTAAAAAAAAAAAAAGATGGGAATATAGGGGTACCTGGGTGGCTCAATTGGTTAAGCATCTGACTCTTGGTTTCGGCTCAGGTCATGATCTCCTGGTTTGTGAGTTCAAACCCTGCATTGGGCTCTGCTCTGATAGCACAGAGCCTGCTTGGGATCTCTCTCTCCCTCTTTGTCCCTCCCCAGCTCGTTCTCTGTCTCTCTGTCTCTCTCTCTCTCTCTCTCTCTCTCTCTCTCTCTCTCTCGTCTCTCTCTCTTTCTTTCTCTCTCAAAAAATAAACAAATACCTGATACAATTTCTTTTAAAAAGATGGGACTATATAATTTGTTCTTGTTTTTTTATTCATGAATTATCAATACATGTAGTAGTTTCAGCTGCTGTGCTAAGCTCTCTAGAGGTACAATAATAAGTAAGTTACAACTTCTTTCCTAAATAAGCTCATAGGTCAAAAGGGAGGCTCAAGTTATACAAGTAACTATTATTCAATACAGTAAGTATTGTATTAGCTTTATGAGGTTAAAAGAAGTAACAGTTCTTTTTGCCTGAAAATTGGCACCACAAGAAAGAAGTGTTTCACAGGCAGACACATTATGTGGGTCTCAAAAGCTTTTGAAAAATAAGTAGAATTTTGCCAAGAAAAAAAGGAAAAGAGAAATCACTCAAAACAGAGGAGAAAACACTTTAGAGCACACTCAGGCATGGAAAAACACCGAGTATGCAAGGAACTCTTCGTGGTCCTTTGAGGCAAAAGTACAGGGTCTGAAGCAGGGCAACATCTCTGGAAAGATAGACCGAGGACAACTTGTGAAGAATCTTGAATACCATGCTGAAGGGTTTGGTTGTGACTCTCTAGGAAAAAGCAAATCATTAAAAGTTTCTCACAAAAGGGACATATAAAAACAGATAAAAGACTCAATTAGAAGGGATTCTATGAGCAATCTGACTTAATGTCTGGTTCTATCCTGTGGGCACCAAAACCTGTAAAAGTCAGGCAGTGTGCCTTTCAACTACTTACATACCTGAGGGTGCTTTGTGACTCAAGGCGAAACATGAAGACAAAAAGATTAGTTGACAGTGACTGAAAGCATTCTATACAACTGTACTTCTCCAATGTGGATGCATGTTGGAAACATCAGGGGAACTTTAAAAATGCTGCTGGCTGGGTCTCACCCCTATTGATTCAAATTCAATTGGCATGGGAAGAAGTCTGGGCATTGAGAATTTTTCAAAGCTTGTCAGGTGATTCTAATATACATTCAAGTTTGAAAACTGCACTAAAACAAGAACCTATTGTTCCTGCAATTCTAGAAGTTATGTTTCCCCAATTTTAAGCTATCTGAAATTCGGATACTTCCTATAACCCTTCTGTGTGTTTCATTTGGAGTTCCTTTCTTCTTCCTTCTAAAATGCTCTTGTTAAATTTATGTGTACATCATATAACCAGTGGTGTCTTCGAAAGGAGGAGGTGTACTGTGTAAAATATAATAACTTACAAACAATGAAATAGAAAATATATACAGCAGCTGGGTCTCTTCGTTTCCTTGCTTGCTATTCTGGTCAGTGCCCTCTTCTTGCACTGAACTAGCCCCCATGCTCCTTTGTCTTCTGATTTCTACCCCTTATTTTGCCCACTTATTCCCACCAACTTGCTCCATATGCAGTCTCTTAATTTTGAGTCTTTAGTCAATTGTTTTCCATTGGTTTTTACATCAGGTATATCTTTCCTCCAGTATGCTCAAAAAAGCCTGGCTGTAGTGATACAAACCTTTCGCTCTAACCTTAAGACACTGTCTTTTTGTATTCCTGTTTGTTGTCATTCCCTTTTAGTTTCACTCTAGTGGCAGTGATAGGTTTAAAATCTTTTTGGCTAAAAGAAATGCCTTCCAATTTAGAGTCATTGCTGAAAACAGATCTCTCATTCTTATAGTGCTTATTTTTCTCTCCGTCTCTCTCTCTTTCCCCCTCCCTCCCACCCTTTTCTCAAACATCCCCCAACCCCACCCCACAGTGCATACACTCACCAACCAAAATCTCAGGAATAGCTCAGAAGTTTACCGTAAAAGATGAAATAATGGACAAACTGTAGGTGGACTTTTAAAGTGAGAAATGATGAGCACTATGGGAATCATAAGTGCCCCAAGAATGTTCAGTGCCAATGGGAGAAAGAGAAAACAAATCTGAGGGAGTGTTCAGGGTTGCTGTTAGGATTAGCAACTGAATGAATTTGCAGTCTTTTTTGGATATTTGTTTTCTTAGTCTTCTATCATTATCTCTACTGTAATGTAATGGGCATAGGCTCTTGCTTTTCTTGTTTACTCTTGTTTTTCTACTGCCAAGCTCATTTTCTTGTACATGGTAAGTGTCAGTTAAATATTTTCCAGGGGTGCCTGAGTGGCTCAGTCACTTAAGCATCCAACTTCGGCTCAGGTCATGATCTCATGGCTGGCTCCTGAGTTCGAGCCCTGCGTTGGGCTCTGTGCTGACAGTTCAGAGCCTGGAGCCTGCTTCAGATTCTGTGTCTCTCTCTCTCATTCAGCCGCATTCCCTGCTCATGCTCTCTCTCTCATTTCCCAAAATATAAATAAACATCAAAAATTTTTAAATATTTTCCAAATAATTGAATTAATGTGTGGAAGGAGTAGTAAGAGAGAATAAAGCATCAGATACTTGATTTTTAGCATGATCCTAAATTCTTGGTCATATATTTAATAAAAACACCATCTAATAATAATGTTCATCAGGGAGATTTTGCTTAATAATTATTTTGGGGAAATATTTTAGTTATGATAACCACTGTATTGATCGGTAATGTGATACTGCTGCATAAATGACTACATTAGGTTGTATTCCTAGAAATTTCTGCTCCATTCCAAGAAGATAGTTATTCTGTTATGCTGGATTATTTATTTACTGATGTGAACCCCATATCCTGAGAATGACATCTGCAAATTAAAGTGTATTCCATAGATGGCAACCAAAACACAGACCATGTGGTTTGAAGAGTGGTTCAATTGCTTGTCAAAGGATAGATGAAGACAAAAGAGTGTATGTAACACAGAGCAGGATTCAAGGGACTGATTTTAGACCTAGTCTAACTCTCCCCTTCCACGGCCATGGACAAGTCGGTTCTCTTTTGGCCCCAGTTACCTTTCTATAAACAAAAGGGAAAGTCTTCATAACTCTCTAACCTTCTTTCCCAGCTCTTTTTTTCAAAAAATGTCAATCTTATGTGGACATGGGAATTATATTCAAGTAATAAAAGCTATTTATATGTAAAATGATACCAGTTTAGTTAGTTTTATTTTAGAAGGTAGAATTAGCCCTAAACAGGATTTATAGAAGGAGATTTTAGTTCGACCTCAGGGCAATTTTTTAACCATTACATTAATGCAATAAGAAAAAGCTTTATTGTATGAAGTAGTGATGCTTCATGTGGGTATCATGTAGGGAAATTATTCATCAGGTTAGAAAATGAACTTGGTAACACCTTCCAACTAGAGTATATTCTAATTTTGCTGTCTAAGGCTTGACCTCAGGGCCAGTGTTTGAGCAAGCTTGTATGCCAGTATATTGAATCGAATAAATGGTTTTCTTTTGTCATAAAGTAAGGAGGGAGGGAACCATGGAGCACCAAAACTTCGTCTCTTTGATTCGCTCTATCACGTTCAGCAGGTTCAAGGTCAACTGCCGCCATTAATGATTCCCGTGTTCCCTCCTGATCAACGGACACTGGCTGCAGCTGCCCAGCAAGGATTCCTTCTTCCTCCAGGCTTCAGCTATAAGGCTGGATGTAGTAAGTACCATTGATTTTCCATTTGGGAGTGGGTGGAGGGCATGGCTTTAAATTAGGCAATTTAATGTTCCTGCCACACCAAGAAATGACATCACTCATATAGCATTTTTATTTTAAAGAGGAAACACACCAAAAGTGTAGAAAAGGATTTATGTTGCTTTTTAAAAGAACGTAGATTATTTCTACGCTTCTGAAGCCAATATTTGCTCTTAATAATTCAGTTTCATAACTTTCATTTCTTGTGTATTTTTCATAATATGAATATAATTTTCAGGTTCAATTTGTTTTTGCAAAGATAAGATAGGAAGATGCTTTTCAATTGCTTTCCATTGCCTTTTAAGATAAACTCATTTCCTAATGTGAATTAGTTGGCCTTTCCTTATCTGTCTCCTGCCTACGTTTACAGCCTAATTTCTTACTAGTCTTCTTTTAGTTCTTAGACCAAACCATACTCTTTCATGACTCTGGACTTACAATTGTGAGTGTTCGCTCTCTTCAGTATTCTGGACATCCTTCTTTTTCTTTTCTTTTTTTTTAATATGAAACTTATTGTCAAACTGGTTTCCATACAACACCCAGTGCTCATCCCAACAGCCGCTCTCCTCAATGCCCATCACTCACTTTCCCCTCCCTCGTACCCATCATCAACCCTCAGTTTATTCTCAGTTTTTAAGAGTCTCTTATAGTTTGCTTCCCTCCCTTTTTTTTCCCCCCTTCCCCTCTCCCATGGTCTTATGTTCAGTTTCTGAGAATATTCTGAACATCTTTCAACTCAGATCAGGGAGAACTTGCCTAACCTAGTTAGATCCCTTTCTCTTAGTTCCTTTGGATCCTGTATATTTTCCCTTTTATTTTAATTTTATGTAAGTTCTATGAGAGCAAGTGCTGGCTCTGTCTTATTCATTGTTATATCTAAACTTTTAGTACAACATTCAATTACTTGTTATGAATGAATGAATGAATCACCACTTGTTACAAACACTACAAGGGCATTTTTGCACTAAGTGGGAAGTTATTCCAAGATAATTGTTTATATTGCTTACTAATTTTAGATGCCGGTGATTTTATGACTTTTTTTCTTTTTTTATCAAAACTGAAATTGTATATTGTTAGTTGTGTAAACACTCTAATATTTCACTTTCCAGAATTTAAATAGCCAAAATGCCAACTATAATCTGTTAAATAAAAATCATAACAAATTCCAAAGAGAGAATAGACCACTAAGCAACATATCTCCTGGAACATTATTACCATGGCCAGAAAGAATATAGAGAAGTCAAGCTCATTAAAATATTTTTATTGATAAAAGTAAAACATCATCGGAAACAACTAATGAAATATGATCATCTTTTAGATATTCATGTAGAATATTGTATTGTAAAGCCCGGTATATGTGGGTTCGTTTATATTTTAATAAATTGTCCCATTAACATCTTGCTATGCTTCAGTATTTATTGCATTTGAGAAACTCTATCCAACATTGCTAGAGATCAGATCTACGCTTCCTGTAAAAATGATGTCTTGGATTTTCACATTTTAACATTTATTCTTAGTCTTTAAACATTTCTCTATATAATATTGAAGAAGTGGGATGCATTTTTTTTTTAAATATACAAAGCCATTTGAGAAGAGTAGATTGCAGCTACAGAGTCTAGGTAAAAGTGAACTAAACTTGGGACTATAAAAATTCACACTTGTATGATATTTTGCCCTTTGCAGTTTTGAAACTACTCTTTCACGTCTTTCTCTTGACTTTGGTTTCATGTGTTTTAAGATGGTGTTCTCACTCTGGGTCCTGAGTTTATTCCTTTATTATCAGTTTCCACATTATTCTATCTTCATAGATCGATTCATTCAGAAACACCAATATTTTTTTATGATTAAGGACTATATTTATATTCTAAGCATTTAAGTTGTAAGAATAATTTAAATTCTAAATATAGGATTTTAAACTCTGTTGCTACACTAAATTCTGAGTTTTTAATCGTAAAATTTTGTTTTGTTTTGTTTCCATTTTCCTAAGGAATTGCTATTCACCTTAAACGCACGTTGGCAATGTGTTTTTTGGTAATCTTGGTTATTAAAAAGAAAAACAAAAGACACTTTTGAAAATCATCAGTTACCTGAGATTGCACCTGCAATATGTATGTATAGACAAGTTCTGTTTTCCAGAAAGGCATTTTTAAGTAACTGTAGAAATAAGTCCCATCAGCAAATATTGTACTGAAGAGAAAACCATGTTGGGTATGAACAATAGAGTAACTTTGGGCCTGGAAAAGGTCAAGGACACCTCTACCTCACTCCCATTTGCCAGAATTGGCATGCTAAAATTTGTTCAGTGTTAATGTGATGTGGCATGGAGAAACTTCTCCCTTTCTAAAATCGTTCATGTATTATCCATTTGATAGTTATGCCTTTGGTGCTTAAAATTACAAATAATACCATTTCTTTTGTAACCTTGGAAATTAAGTAGAATATAGCCTTTACAGCCCCTGGCAAGCCTGAACCTAGTATCATGCCAAACCCTGAAACTCAGAAGCCAGTGGCGCAAGAAAGGACCACCCTGTTGACACTCTGGCACTTTGACTCAGTTTGGGTGGAAGCACTAGGTAGTCCAGGCTATTTCCTCACTAATCACATTGCAGGAAAGAATAGAGATAGGAAAGGACATAAATCTTGCCATCTCTCTTCAGTGGGTCTCCTTATTTTCTCCCCAGAGTTGCCAACAATACGTCAGTTGTTTTAATTTGAGTATGATTACCTAATTCTCAATGAAGAAGACTGACCAACTCATCTCGGTTTGTGTTTCAAGCGAATATCAAAGACATATTTGGTGGTATCAGAAATTCAAATGCTTTTCATCAGTCCACTCATAGAAAGTATTGATGATAAATTTTTCCATTTAGACTATGTATCTTGATCAAATAAATAAAATAAAAATCTCTGGAACTATACGAGAAAGTTCAAATGTTCTCAGGAGGGAAAAGATAATATAAGAACACTAAGTTGGGGAACCTAAGCATCACAATTGAGTGGGCATCTGCTGTTTTCAAAAAAAAGAAGCTTTCTGTTGGACATAAAGATATTTTCTCTTTGAAAAATATAATAGTGGAAGTATGGCATAGAATGGAGACCTACTGCTGGATTCTCCCTTAACTGTTAAAATGAATGTCAGTAAATAATAGAAGAATAATTTAATAGCAGTACAACCAAAGACTTCAGAGCAAACTGGCTACATAGTAAAGAAGTTTTAAAGAATGTTGTAGTCCACTCGTATCCGTGAATATGTAGATCAGTTTACAGATATTGATGTATTATTATCAGAATCTCAGGTTCTGTTTTGGCATTTGCTATTAATGAAATCAAGTATGAAACCACACTTCTTCATGGATCCATATCTAGTTATTACTTTTCTTACTTATTTTTTCAGTGTTTCTTTATTTATTTTGAGAGAGAAAATGAGTGGCCGGGGGAGGAGCAGAGAGAGAGAGAAAGAGAATTACAAGCAGGCTCTTCACTGTCTGCACAGAGCCCGACGAGGGGCTCAAACTCGCAAACTGTGAGATTATGACCTGAGCTGAACTCAAAAATCAAATGCTTAACTGACTGAGCCACCCGGGTGGCCCCCTACTTATTTCTTAATATCTAAAAATACTTCCAAACTTCTAAGGTGGTAGAGATAATGGTGTATTATTAAGTTTAATATTTTTAATATATATAATAACTTGAAAACAATTACATAAAAACACTGGTTTGATCAATCACCTCAATTCATAGACCATTCCACACGGGGGAAAAATTAATGAAATAATCTGTATTTTTAACTTGTCAATTCTATGAAAACTGTCAACTAGGTTGCTATATGTAGACACACCCCAATTTTTAGAATGCATAATTAAAAATCCCAATTTTAAATTATGTTTGTGGGCACCTGCTCATTTTAATCAGTAAACTCTCATTAAAGTTCTTGGAATAAATTTTAAAACTAAGTTTCCAATATTGAATAATAAAATAAATGGTGTAGAAATGAATTGGTTCAAGTACACTTTGGATGGTTGAGGAGTCCAAGGACCCAGTACACTTCCCTCTGCTGAAAAGTCTAAATGAAATCCTAACCTCTTAACCAAAGGCTTCAACCTGTGAACCACAAAAGTTGTTTCATCTGGACTTTTGTGAAATACAACGTACACACATTTGACACCTAGAGAATACTTCATGTCGCAAGAAGACCCCACTTTTGTGTTCGCTCATATGGCAAAAAATCTAACAAATTTCACAATAATTTTGAATGTGTATATTGACTTTAGCATTTTAAACTTGAGAGAAACTTTTGAGATAAGGTGGTTGAAAGTCCTAATTTTGGTTAATACATATTTCACTGATTCCAACTTCCAGTTCTCTTTCCAGGACACACAGCTTCCTCACGCCCCACCCTCAAAGTTAAATGGCGTTCCCTCGGAACACATAGTTTGTAGGCAGGAATGAGAGGAATAGGTGTTTCTCTTTTCACTAATAACTACAGTCCTCTGCTCCTTTTTGTTTGGGTGTAAAATTTCTAGTCATATAATTCTAACAGCTGCCTTAGAAATTTGTGACAGGAACACATTTTATGCGGAAATAAAAGAATCGGCAGGAAGGCAATCCAATAAAATAACCCATTTTCTGTATACAGTATAAAACAAACAGTGGTAAAAGAGTTGGCTCAAGAGTTTAGCCCAAAGTGTCAAATTGAATGTGTCACATAGCTGCAGATAGTCTTTCCCCATAGATGGGCATGTGCCTAGTGCTGAAGTTCCCAAACTGTGTGCTAAGGTACCAGGGTGCCTTTACTAATTCACAGGGGCATACAACATATTTTAAAATTTCAAGGAAAATACAGAGACATCTGTCAGACACTACATAAAATACCTTAGCTGTTTAGACCTTTACTACTTAACAAAATGGAAGAGTTGGGTATTTCTTTTGTCCTGCAGGTGCCATGAAAAAATTATTGAGCTGTA